CATGAATACATGTCTATAAGACAACATTCGTGACAATTCAAAATTCTTATGTCTGGGTATTTTGGTCAAAGGAATGCAAAACTGGGGAATAGTGAATTTCTAAATAACAATTCTATAAGCATTATCAGCCAGATTCCAGACATTCTCAGCCACATTTGGAGTTTATTACCATAACGGAAGGGGGAAATAGAAAGGAAGATAGTATGAACGGCTTTCACTACCTCAGTTGCAGAAGTTTGCATTCTTAGTTGTAGTGGCCAGCCACCACCAGGCCTTACAGGCATGCACTACAACCATTGACACAGCCCTGCAAGGATACAGAAAAGGTGACACTCCCTTTGCAGCTGGATAAATGTATGGCAGGATTTGACCACCACACCTGCCACCAATACACCCAAATAACACTCAAGTACAACTTCTCAGTTAAAGCTAGTGGTAATGAAATAGTTGCTGCTACAACATTGTTGTTAACTATGCTTTATAGCACTGAATTTTCAGTTCTATAAAAATGCAAATTAGGGAATTAAACAGCTAACATCTCTGTTTTGAAAAGAGAGGTAGTAAAAGCAGTAATGAAATCCATGGCTTCCCTGGCAGTTTCACAATAAAGAATATTTTATTTTTAAGTCGGAGATGCAATGCCAAAATTGTTGCCTGAGCTAGCATTTATTCCAAGTTTAAATTTTTAATTCATTTAAAAAAAATAAAATAAAATAAACCAGTAATTAAGCTCTATACTTTGTGATGGGTAATGCAGCATAGTAGTAATAGTAACATAATTTCACCATTTAAACAGGGCTACATAGGTTATCCTAGTAAGTTACTGGAGACAAAATGCAAGTAAGGCTACAAAGAGCTTTTATTATCTAAGGAACCCATTCAATACAAATGCAGACATACTTGTATAAGCTGTAGTAAAATACAAAGCAAATTTTGCATTGAGCTGACAAAATCAAGACAAATTAGCTAACACAGAAGCTTGCTGTGGGCCAAGACAAATAGTTTCCTTACTTCCAAACAAATAGTTTCCAATCTCCTTTACTGAATCAGTGACTTTTGATTTATTGGAAAGGAGATATTGATGTTCAAGCTTACAGGTGACAGGTAAAACACTAAATGATTTTAATTTTGTTTGGGTTTTGTCTGTTTTTGTTTTTTACTTCTGATGAAAACAACCAAAGGAATAAAGGAAAAAGAGGGATGAAATCTTCTTACACTTTTATGAAACAAAGATGTAAAATCCTTTTTTTTCTTTTTTTTTTCCATTGGTGCTTATAAAAGCTAATAAAGTTTTATTCATTAACCAAGCTTCATGTGTTAATAAAAAAAATCAACATGCAGAGAGAAATGGTGAGTAACTATTACAAGCAAAAAATAAAAAGGAGAAAGCTGGAGATCTAAGTCTGTGGTCAGAAGAATATTAATACAATGTAAGGAGAAAGAAAAGTTTTCTTGCAACAAAACAGGTAGAAGTACAAAGAAAATCTTTTGGGCTGAAGATACCCCCAGGGATGGGGGGGAGGGGCGCAATTGTTGAAGATCTACTGAAAGGGCTGAAAAATAAAGAAGTGTAAATAAAAATGCAATGAGCTGAATTGAAGATACTTTAGTACATCAGAAATCATATAGAAAAGTGATTTCTCTTTTTCATGTGAGCAGATAAGCTGAAACAAAGACTCTGCTTTTCCTATGCACAAGATGATACACAGCTGTTGCACAGCTCCTGCACTGTACCCATGCACTCAAGAGCCAGAACATCAAATTCACCATAACTTTGTTGCCCAAAAAAATCTCCTGGGTACATTCCTCCTCGTTATTTTTTTCTGTTATTCCTGTGAAAATCAAACATGACAACTCTGAGATGGACAACAGTCCCATTTTACAGTTCTCACATTTCTCTGTTTTTAGTTACTTGCTTTCCATATTTTCCATGAAAATATCTGCTGTTATGCAAAAAGAAGTCGAAAGCATTTTTATCTGTCTTCTGATCCAATCTCAGTCTTTTCAATTGCATAGATAGTTATAGCTGAGAGAGTGATTTGAAGTATCTGAGGATGGGTTTTAGTCTTTTCTCTAGAGCTTTTGCTTCTAATTCAAATAAAACCTGAACTTCAGTTCTCTCGGATATTTTAGTTCACAGACTACTACTGCAGCAATACTATTTTTTTTAAATGAAAATATTCCTATGATCTGTTCTCTCATACTTTTAAAGACATCTTGTTAGAATCAATAGTAGTCCAAACACAGCTCGCCGGTTTAGCTTCTGCTGGATGATTTGTTGGTCTAAATTCGGTTTCAATTCTGGCTAAAGATTAAAGACTCGACAGCATGCATGTCACTGACAACTTCAACCATCTGTCATTACTCTCAAGTATGTTTTAGTTGTGATATTTACCTACTTGTGTCTGTGCTGTAGATGGAACACAAAAAGATAGATAGATACCTCAGCACTTCACCTTTCCAGCGACCTTAACTTCTGATTTAGCACCTAATTGTCACTCTTTGTTAAGAAGAGCTCTAAAGCCAAACAAAAATAGTTTTTCCCTGTGATAATTTAACATTTAGAAGACTAAAGTCTTTTAAAGCATAATAATAAAAAAAAAAAATTTTTTTTTTTTTTATAAGGCCTTATTAAGATAACAAGCATTTCCAGTATGTAGGAAATAAAAACTTACCTACCACCATTTGGAAGCACATCAATTTACATATCCATAAAGAGATCATTATACAAATTGAGAGAAAAAATACTTTGTAATTTACATCATAACAAGGGCAGCTTCATTGTGCTACTAGTAGATGTAGTAATTGTGTTACTAGTAAGTCCTATCCTAATAGGACATTGACTAAAACTGAAAATTATTAAGCAGTTTGGGCAAGGAATAAAGCTAAACAGTTTAGCTACATAGTCCAGAAGGGGATTTGTTGTATTATTTCTTTTTAAACTTCATCAGTGAATCAAGGTCTTTGTCTGAATGAACTAGAACTGCTGCTCTGATGTGACTACTGTATGATGTGGTGTCTCAAAAGACACCACAGGTTTCAAATCCAGGTTTCTACAGATGAGGGTTTAGTACAGTCATATACATCTGATGAATCTTGGGAAGAGAAAAAAAATCTGAAAAAGAGTTCACTTTTAATGAACAGGAGAGTGCTGAGTGCTGTAGCATTGTGTCTGAAGCAAGCAAATTATAGTTGCATAGTATTCACTAGCCCTTCCAATCATTCACATTTAAAAAAAAAAATAGCAGCAACAAAAATATTTAAAGGAAAAAAATCAACATCTTGTTTTTACCTTGGAGGGATGATTGGAGCGGAAGTGGATGAATGGGGATAGTACAAAAATACTGAGCAAAATTCCCATAATTTAAATGCAAGTGATTGCTACTCAGAGCACCTGAAAATTTCTTCCTTGTTTCCCAAGAAAGGTGTCTGCGGTGCCTTTTCAATTGCCCTCTACAGGTATTGGTTATGATAGAATGATCTGTTTGTGCATCTTTATTCTGGAAACAGACTTTATTATCATTCATGATCACTTTTTCTTTGTGATATTTTCATTGTCAATGACCCAAATTACAAAAATTTAAGGAAAAAAAAAAAAAAGAGAAAAAACTTCCTTGGTCTCTGACTACCTTGATTGCTAAACAGCTACTCCTCAAAACTCTCTCTCTCTTTTTTCTTTTTTCTTTTTTCTTTTTTCTTTTTTCTTTTTTCTTTTTTTTTTTTTTTCCAGGTTTTAAGGCCTTTGGAAGAGGACTGTGCCTTTTTTGTTTTTCTTCTTCACTACCTGGTGGAAGGTGTTAGTCCATTAATCTCACTGACCCATCTGATTTCTGTAGTCAAAGTGCTGACAAAACAGTTATTGTTTATTTTATATCCATTGTCTCCCATTCATGCCTTGATTATGATTTGTTAGTATATTTAGCTGCCAGGTTTAAACTATAAAATATATCTCAATGTCAGCGGGAAATTTTCTGTGTAAACAGTAACAGTAGTACATAAATCAAAATCATTAGTGTTACTCTGTCTGGTAGAAAATCTAGCAGTTCTCTCTGTGTTACAAGATGCACTCTCCCTTTCTTCCTGTTTTTCTCACATAAACATATGATAACAATGGAGATGAAGGCTTTAGTCTTTATTCATTGTCTGAAAGATACTAATTCACAGTGTACATTAGGATTACCAGGCATAGGGAAAACTTAGGACTACTATATTTGAAAACAAAGGTCAAGGTGTCAGTACAAATAGGTGCATGGATTTGACTCTCGGGGGCCCATAAACTCTCATAGTACACCCAATCCCTTCAGCTCTCAAAGGCACCACTGTCTAGAGCAACACCCTTCCAAACACTCCAAAGAGCAGGAAATCCCTCTCGAACCATCACAGACTTTCTGTTTCTTATTCTTTAAGATGAGAAAACACAAGAGCCACTTACTAAGTTATTATTATTGTAGAGCTTAAAACAGAAAGTATAGAAGAGTTAAGAATTACATCATCTCTTTAAAACCGCTGTTGTCATTTTGGAAATATCAGTTTATTGATAGGAATTGTTACAGAACCAATTGCAAAATTGAAAAATGGATTTTATGCAAGATTATATTTCTAGATTTATCATTACCACAATCTTATATTTTGATTCATTTTGCTTGTAATACTCTTTCTATTTTTCCTAACCCTTGACAAACATAAAACACCACCTCTTCTCAGAAAGTATGATCCATCTACTTAATACAGTCAATAGTCCCATAGTCAGCAAAAGTGTAGGTCAGTTTTTCACACATCTGGGCCATACTAAGACCATGCAATTCAACAATTCTAGCCACAACCAGCTAACTGTAAAAATTTAAACGTGACTGTTAACTGGAAAAAAAAAAAAAAAAAAAAAAAAAAAAGTGAGAATAAAATTATAAGGAAATGAATAAGAATATTTATGAACGTTAATTTTACTCCAATACAGCTAGATGGCAAATGTATAAATAACTGAATAGTTTGAACCAACATACCAATTTCCACTGGGAGATGGTTGATTTGGTTTTTTGACAGCTCCAGAACTCTCAGCTCTTGAAACAAAGCAATGTAGTCTGGAATGGTTTGAATCAATGTATTGCTTACATGCCATTCTTTCAGAAAGGTCTGGTCTTTCAGAGATTCTGGAAATTCCTGTAAATAAGATTATATAAATAGAAACCATCAAGATAGAATTTTGTTCTATCATGTTTCTAAATAGAGTGAAAAGAATTCCCATGGCCAAATCTCAACACTTTTCCTAAATTATCTTGATGTAGAACATCATTTTGCCAAATCCTCACAGGAGTTGTTATCTTTTGATGAGTATTGCAGATGTCTGTCACCACATAATCTTTTTTTTTCATCTGTTAATGCAATTATTTTGCTCTAAAACTGAAACCTATTTGAAACACTCAGATGTTTGGTGCCTCCCATATTATTTCCTTTTTCCAGCTGGAGAATTTTTCTAAAACACATTTTACTGCTTTAATTCATACATCAGGATACAGTAAAATGCAACACGGGAACAAAATAGTGGGTGTATGGAGATTACCAATATAGGTTTTGACACTAAAACAAAAAGTGTCTTCTTAATATCTGCTGAGGATGCAAAATTTGTTTGCCAAGATGGAACATGGTCCAAAAAATAGAAACATTTCAGTTAGGATATATACATATCACTTATTGAAAGTCTTATTTCAACTATGTAACTTCATGAGTCATTTCACCAGTTTGAGAATTTTTGCTCATTTGTTTATTTCAATATCAACAAAAATATTCAATTTTTAAATCAGTCAACCATTGCAATTAGTTCTTATTTTACTCAGAGAATATATTTTCTTTAACATTTTTAGGATTGTTTTAAAAACACAGCAAATAAGTTTGCTTCTGGGTAATTTTCACACTATATTTTATCTGTTCAAAATTTCCAAAGTATAACAGCTAAATTGGCTGAAGGTTTTAGAGCCTTTAATTCTTAAAAATTTGCTTTAGTTAATTGGTATTGAGTTCAGATATACACTTCATTGAATTGTGTCACAAAATCCCTTTAACTGAATCAGATAAAAATCATTTCATAAAGCTGAAGGTCGGAACACTTAAAGTCAACTTACTAAACCAGCACATAATTTACCAGTCTGCCCTGGATTTTATATCACTGTATGTTAGTAACTTCTGGAATAAATAATTGTGAAGAGGAGCTAACTTTGCTCCATAAAAAGAGAAGTGTAATAGTTTAAGCTTTGAATTCTTTTACACCTTCCAATTTATTTTTCTGCACATAAAGAATTCTACACAGTAGAAATTGCTGTTTGGTATTTTTTCCTTCTAAGTTTCATAGATGCCCCAAGACATTAACAGGTGTGATGCACTTAAATTGCGGGTTTTTTTTTTTTTTTTTTTCTTTGTTTGGTTTTGATTTGTTTAATTCTGAACTAGAAGCAGTGTTGCTTAACTCTTAGATAAATTAAAACTTCTAATTAAAGATATCCTGGACTTAAGATCACTTTCTTTTTCTTTATTTGGGTGTTGCTGTCTCAAATTTCAGTTCTTTTCAAATATACATACGCAGACATTTAGCCTATATACGTAGTTTGGCTTTTCTACTTGTCTTTCCATGTCTGGTATGGATCATTTCATTTCTTGCTTCATTTTCTATGTGTATATTGCATTGTGATCCATCTTTTATATTTTTCAGTTTATGGCAGTTGAAAAATAAAATAGCTTAAATGCCTTAGGACAAGTCAGGAGAAATCTCTCCTTCTTTCTGATGTGGGTTTCCACTACCACACCTTCAATCCTGCACATTTTTCTACAGCAAAATAAAAGAATAAGTGCCACTGCAAATTTGGTTAGTATTGCTTTTCTCAGCTTTACAGAACTGAAAATGCATGACGTCGGGAATAATAACATTTAACTGGAGTATGAGAGATACTACTGTAAGAAAGAACCCTAATTCACTAAGAAAGGAGATGCATAACATTAACACCGGAGGGAAAAAATGTTTGGAACCAGATATTATTTGCCACTTTATTTCTGCTGTTGTGCCACAGCCTAGGTCTGTCTTGATCTATTCCAGTGACCTGCTGTTTTTTAATACCTTGTTATCAAAACTGACTATCTTCCAGCTGTCAAATGCAGCTGGGAGCAAAGGATAACACTTGCCCCTATTAAGCCAAGAAAAACAGTTCTCCCAGACCAAAGGGGTACCCCACAAGGTTCTTTTTGTATTTAAAAGACAATGGAGAACAAAAATCACTCTCAGATAAAGACCAAGCTGCCCAGCTCCTCCAGAAAAATAATAATAATAATAATAATAAAATAGACAAAATATTTGTCTATGATTAATGAGAAAAAGGTTTTAAAAAATCTTTATTAACTGTTGTATGAATAGTGCCAAGATTCTTGTGCAATAACTGACATAAATTCAGGCATAAAGTTAAAAGAATAGAACTAGATTCCATTCTTCTACCAGTTGTCCACACTCATTTCCTTTCTTTGGATTTTTTCTTTATATCTTATAATCATATTTACAATTTCCAAATCTAAGTTTACAAATTCTTTGCTATAATGTGCTTTTCTTTAACATTCTCCATCTTACCATACATTTGTTCGTGTCACTGGTGTGATATTTTACTTCATTTACAAACTACATAGGGAAGGGAAGAGAAATTTGCACAAGTTTTATGTTTGCTTTACTCTCTGATTCCCTTGTGTTCTTTTGTAATCAGCTGTTGCCATGCTAAAGCTGGCAGCCTGCTGATAAATTACTCCATGAAGACTGACACTTGGAGGATAGCCAGTCTTTTGCCTTTAACAGCAAAACAATAACTCAAAACCCTTTGACTGGGGGATGGGAGGGAGTAGAGTCTGAAAAGGAAATAAATAGCAAACTTACAACCAGTGCTGATTTTACTATTTTTAATTAGAAGAGAACTTATCTAGCAGACATGAGCCTGAATTAAAATTGTGACCAAAATATTCAGCTCTCTAAAGTTTTAATTCTGCTTCTATTCCTAGCCCTGTAATTTTATCTGTCATTGACCAAAACCAAAATTGGGTCCAAATTTCTTTCATCTTTGAGAATCATTGGATCTAGCTCCAAAAGTGGGTTAGGCAGTTTACAGGTTTTGTGGAGAAAAAAAAAAAAAAAATCTCTGGAAGTGAAATAAGCCTGAGAGATTTTCTCTGTTCATTCAATGCAGTGATTCTATTTAATTTATTGTGGCAAACAAATACCTCACTGTCACTAACTACTGGAAATAAATGGAAATTCTCTGTTCTCAGTGAAAAGACAGAGCATGTCAGATGGTAAAAACAGAAAACAAATACAAATCTAGTAATTAATTTGCTGACATTTTCTGTGAAGAAATTATATGAAGAAGATTGTGATTTACTAGTAAAGAATTTTTGCATCACTCATTCATCCATTTGTTGTGCACATTTGATATTTGAGTTGTTTAAATCTGTTGGATACAGATTCTCTGCTGAAGAAAATCATCACAGCCAAGTACAGCCATGTTCTGTGTTTCAGTGAACATCATCACCACTCATTTGTCAATACTAATATTGAAAATTTACAGTTGTTTTTCCTGAACTTTTTCTGAAAATCATTTAAAATTCACTGATCCACTAGAGAATAAACATTCATTAGTTAGAAGCAGAAAGCAAATGTTCAGAAAGGAAAAAAGAGTTAAAGTAAATTCATTGAAAAATTTGTATGAATATTCATAGTGTTATTTTCTACAGCTTTCATTCAGCTCTAATAGCCATGCTGTTTCTCTGAAGAAATAATTTAATTCAGTAGATACATGCTTACATGTACAAAGGATCTCAATTAAGTGTTTCAGCAATTCATCATCATTCTCTTCCAGACAAGTAATTTGACTGTACAATTCAAGAGTCCAAAGTCCCTAAAGAGCTCTCTTTTACAGGGGGTTTGCTTGGAAAATTCTTAGAGAAATAACAGTTTCTGAAATATACCTTTGGAACCTCAACTTACTTGTGGCTCTTCTCATACTCTTCTCATGACAACAAGTCCCATGACTTTTGTAAGCACAAGAGGATTTAAGAGACTCACTGTTGGGGGCAATACAAATGGGTTCTGCACATTGTTTAAAAAGACAAAACTCCGTCTGACTTCTTTCACAGTGTCAGATTATGAGACCAGCCTGTTTGTTGTTGTAATATCTTTTCTCTCCTTTATTTTTTGTTGTTTATTTCAACAGCTAATTATAAATATTAATTAATACTGTACCTAGCTTTCAGAAATGCACCACACGGAGATGTAGACATTTGAGTCATAAATATTTGGTTGGTATATGAAAGAGGAGACAAGGACCACTGAATCTTAGGAATGTTGTCACACAACCTCTTAGTTGTGGAGTTCTGACAGACAAAGGTAAATCTATCTAACTGATGCAGTTACCAACCAAAATCCATAGCCAAAAGTTACCCATTCTAGACAGGCATAACCAAAATAAAGCCCAAATCACTTTCAGATTCAAAGACTCTTAGTGAGCACAAGTTCTTCAGGTGTAATGGCTTGATATTGATTCTGCTTACAGCATTGTTGTTCAAAAGATTTCCATTAAGATCATAGAATCATAGAATATTGCAACCAAACTCATAAACCCATAGTGACTTGAGACAACTGCAGGCTCAAATTACATCTCAAAAATTAACTTAAAAGTGAAGCATAACTAAAAAGAATTAATGTTCCACAAGGAGTTATGGATCTGCATTTCCATAGAATTGCAGTGCTAGTCTATCTAGCTCATACTCAGTGCCTATTTATTTAACCTAATATTCATTCTATGAGTTTTATCTTTCTCAGAGATGTTAAAATAATTACTTTATAACTAAAAGGAATAGTGAGTTTCCACTTAATTAAAATACATTAGCATTTCAATAACATTTGAAAAGTAGAAAATAGATGGCATGGAGGTCCTTAAGGAAGGCATTCCTATTAGGAATTCAAAATGTGTGACCTATTTTAATTTCCTCTATTACTACGGTTCTCCAAAGGAGATCCAAGAAGATTTTCAAAAGAGCACTCTCCAGATGATTTTTAAAATACTTGTCCAAGCTATTCCAGTATACAGTTGAACATTTCATGAGACCTGTTTTTAAGTTTGCACTCAACAGCACAGAGTCAGTGAGCCAGATTCCCTGCTATGCTCTACAGATCTGAAGCATGAGACAATAGCCTCTTTGCAACATCTACATTTTTACCATCTAGACAACATGTGTACTGATGAGTACCTGGTATAAGTTATAATTCTAATTGGCTGCAACATTTCAGATAGCTCAGTTAGTTGGTTTGTTGTATTTTGCTGTTTGAAGCTGTTTGTTTTTTTTTTGCTGTTGAAGTTTCTAATGACAGGCATTACGTGGAGACCTCTGGGAAGGATATGGTAAAGCCACTTATTTTCTTCTTGCAAAATCCCTGTGCTGGGGATTACTCCTCTGTGAGACTTAACTTCACAGCATTCAGAAAGAAAACTGGTACAGCCTAGAAGCAAGCCCAGTTCTCAAAATTAAATCTGTAAGTCATACCAACAACCTGCCCAGATTTATCTGTCTAATGTCTAGAGAATATATTACTGCTTCATTGATGAGAAGAAAGAAGAAATGTAATAGAAATACTTATCAGCTAAAAGTGAGAGAGAGAGACAATTCAACAGCTAGTTCCCAAAGGGGCACTTAGTGGGGCTGTGCTATTCACTGCTGCCAAATGTAAGAGAACAGCCAATATGAACACAAGCTATTTAAGTCCCTGCAACACTACAATAGCAAACCCTGTTTTTACATCTAGTGTCTGAGTGCTTAATCTCCCAAAGTTTCCACTCATAGATGTATTTATGTGCAAAATCAATAACAAAATCTGAAGTGCAATTGACACCACAGCTCCTGGCTACACACACACACACACACACACAAAAAGGGGGGGGGGGGGGGATTTGGGGATGAAACTGTGCCATGACCATGGATATTTCTACACACAAATTGTCAGCCAGTATATTTTGGAAATGCATTTTCTGTAAGTGCAATTTCTTCTGAAGGACTGATAGGGGAGTGTCATGTCTGATTCTTTCTTTGTTTTGGAAGTAACAGCTGACATTTGAAAGAAAAAAATATAGAGAAATTATATTATCTGAATTACCAAAGTAGATATTTGAGAAAATTACATTAAGGAGAAATATATTTCCTTCAGAACTTTGTCAAGTGGATTATCATATTTTTAAAATATTTTTCCCCTGTTAGAGACTGCCAGTGCTCTTTGACTTTGAAAGACCAATGGTCTTCTATTAACAAAACAGTTTTTATTTTATCTTTGTCTGCAGACATCTGAATTATGTCAAAATATCTTGCTGAGAAAGCAAGATATTTTTAGCCAGGCTGGGTCTGGACAACAATACACAATGGTTGTGTGATAAGACCACATAAGATACGAAGACAGAATGAAAGTACATGATGGTTAAAATTGTACTGCTCAAGATGGCACAATGTATGTAACCATACACCAGTATCTCTGAAATGTGATCTTTCAACATGTTATATTGAAATGAAATAACATGGAAAATCCAATAAACTATATAAGTTTCATTTTACCTCTTAATATAAAGCCATGTTTATGATAGTAAAACAAAATGTTAACCAACTGGCAAAAGAGAAGAAGAAAAAGTTTTAGTTATGCAGTTCTCTGCTATGTGATGCAAAGTAAATATCTGCAGGTGGTACAATATCAGTGTTCAAGGAGCTGTAATATCTCTTTTTTTTCCCTTCAAATGCACATAAAAAGTTTACAATACAAGAGAGTGTGCATTATGAATTACACGGCTTTAATATTATTGTCAATATGCAAGGTCCTTGAAAGCTAAAATATAGTAACACTCCACCAGATAAATGATTGGCATTATGTTCTCCCTTCTAGAGCTAGATGGGAACTATACTTTATTTTCCAGAAATTTTGCTTACATTTGGTTTATTCAGAAAGGAATTAAAGTAAAATAAATAAATAAATACAATAAAGCTGAAAAAGAAAAGACTTTCATATCCAATTTCAAGTGTGGGACAAAGTTATGTTTCAGGTTAACCAAAATAATTGTTTACTAGATAAGATTTATTCACCTTGTAGATTGGTTTTTCAATTTGCACTTTTCTTAATTAAAATTTCAAAAATCCATTTCAAAATGATAAACTACAAAAAATTAAAAATCTAACTCTAATATTCTAATAAAAAAGGCCATCTCCTTAATAAAACAATGTGCATTATAAGTACATTTCAGGCAAATCATTCCAGGCACACTGTAAAAATTCCAGGCACACTGTTGTTCCTCTTTTGCTGAATTTCAAACCAGCATTAACTCAGAGCTCATTTTTAAGCTTGTATTGTATTTCACTCAATACATAACCAGAAGCACAAAGCTTGGGAAAAAAAAAAAAATGTGTAGGGTCTTTAAAATATTTAGCATATTTAAAAACTAAACCATTAGTTTAAAGTAAGAGAGGAAATGCTTTTGTCACTTCTAACACAGGGAAAAAACATCATTATCATATGTTTGGCAATGAAAAAAATGTTTTGCAGCATTACAAGATACAGTGCAAAGCTACCCAATCTCTTTAACAACAATAATATATTTTCTATATTTACCGTCCACTGCTGCCCAGAAAGCTGAAAAATAAACTTGTTTCTTTCCTTATTTGCTTCATCTGACAGAGCACGTTTCTTCTGGAGCTGAGGAGTCTTTCCATATGTGTCCAAGACCTTCTCATCTGTGTCTACAAAGCCATTTTTAAGGTACTTTGATTGGGGAATGCCTTTCTTCCGGCACTCCAGTATGAAGTTCCATTCCTGCTTTATCCTGAAATAGTGACAAAAAGTGTTTATGTGAATTAGCTGAAATCACAGAGCACAGAAGTCTTAAAACTCAATTTTTTTTGCATTAATAAATAACAAAATGTAAACATGCACCTAATGTATTGGTCATTTAGAAAAGCAAATGCATTCCTGGAGTCTTGCTTAGATTTTTGAGACTGATATATGGATTTCAGATGAGCAGGATTTCATATAGTTTCTATACCTTAAAGGAGGCTGTAGAGAGGTGGGGGTTGGTCTGTTCTCCCATGTGCCTGGTGACAGGACAAGGGGGAATGGGCTTAAGTTGCGCCAGGGGAGTTTTAGGTTGGATCTTAGGAAGAACTTCTTTACCGAAAGGGTTGTTAGACATTGGAACAGGCTGCCCAGGGAAGTGGTGGAGTCACCATCCCTGGAAGTCTTTAAAAGACGTTTAGATGTAGAGCTTAGTGATATGGTTTAGTGGGGACTGTTAGTGTTAGGTCAGCGGTTGGACTCGCTGATCTTGAGGTTTCTTCCAACCTAGAAATTCTGTGTGTGTAATACAGTGATACTCAGGGACTAACAGAAAAACAGAGACTAAGCCTATTGTCATAGAAAGCAGCATGAATGATGCCCTTTATTTCACAGGAAATGAGACAGGATAGAAAATACTTTCTCACAGAACAAGGAACATCGTATGTATATACACAAAAAAAAAAAAGGTAATACATATGCAAAATTTTTCAGTTGAAAAAAAAAAAAAAATTATTTTAACAAGTAAGGTGTTAGAAATATTCCCTTTTTCCTGCCCTTTCTTGTTCAAGTATAATGATCTATTTCCATTTTTAAACATTATCTTCCAACACCATCTTCAAAGGTGAAAGATAAGGTCAAAGTTATCACATGCTAACTAATTTAAGTTTAAATTTCCATGTAACTTTAGGCTCACCTCCAGGGCAAAGTATTACCTATATAACTTCAGGTGCAAATTCAATTTGATATAATTAAGCAGTGCTAAAATCACATGCTTTAATTTAAGAGAGATTTATTCCAGCTTAGTCAATTAAGGAACTGGTTGATTAACGGAAGCAAGACTTCCTTACACCAAAATAAGACTCTGCAGAGTCTTGTTTCATAAATCTGTTCTCATATTTGGAATGATAGACTTTTTTTGTTGTGCATAAGTTTCAATTATGTGATCTCCACCCTCTGGCAAAAATTTTAAGCTAAAGACATGGAGAAAACTAACAGGTGCAGAAGGGAACAATGGTGAGGATAATATGCCCTCTAGGGAAACAAAACCATGAATGGCACATCCTAAAAGGAGAAGCAGAAGCAAGTTTGTAAAGTTTAAGCAGGAATTAATAAAAATTGTAAACATATTCCTAGCTAAGCATTTGATTTGCTCTAAAATTATAAAGTTTAAAATAACGCCACATTAATGAGCAAGAATATGTGGTTTTAAATCATGTACAATAAATCAGCTACAAACATAAATACAAGAAACATCTTCAAAATATGGTGCAAGTAAGCAATTTTCAGACACTCATTGAAAGATATATGATAAAAAATGAAGAGCAGAGTATATGTATGGGAATAGGATACTGTATTTTAAAAAAACATTTTTAAGTCATTGCTAGAAAGAATAATATTCAGGGATCAGAAATGCATGTTTAAACAGGAAGGGTGTTACTCAGGCAGTAGTGAAGTACCTAGCATGAATGGGTGTTCTTACTGAAACATTAGGGAATATTGGAGAAACATGAAAGCAGAGATCACAGCAACAGTAGGAGACTTCAGCTATCTATAAACACATACCACACTGACACAAGGTAGACAGTATACAGTTTTGCAAATCACACATGACTTTATCAGAGCGGCTTGTCTGAGAGACCATAAGAAGACTAGATTTAGTTTAAAGCAACATCATACCATACACAGATCATCAGAGAACTACAGAAGACCCCTGTTATAATAATCACCACAATGTATTCCCATGGGAGAGAGAGAGGGAGAGGGGGAAGGAGGGGGAGAGGAGGGAGGGGAAGGGGAGAGAAGGGGAGGGGGTAGAGGGGAGTTGGGTGGGGAGATGAAAAATTGCAGTTCACTTTTTTACACAGTGCAGTGCACTTTTACACAAAAGTGATGGAAGATTGCATAAAAACAGCACCATTTCAGAGTAAGTACATTCTAAAGAAGGGATCACGTCCTCCTCTCACTTTCAAAAATGGGGAAAAAAAAAAGAAATAACATTTATGTTCACATGAAGGAATGAGAAGGCGGTATAACTCTGACAAGTTAAAAGTAAAAGCATAAAAAGGTAAGTGAAGTGACTTACTGCAGGTATACAGATGAATGGGAATAGGATTTTTAGCACATCAGAAGCAAGAAGCCTCTCAGAAAGATGGTGGGAACAATAACTTACCAAGGTATGAAAAGAGCAGTAAAGGAATACTCAATGTTATTAAGAGAGCAGGAGTCATTAAGGAAGCTGCAGAAAAGTCAAACTTACCCTTTGCTTCAGTGTTCTTTGGAGGGATCAGTATGCTCTTTAGAAGTAAATATTTTGAGAACTCACTGACATTTAAAGTGCCAACAGAAGAGGCTTGAGAATAAAAGAAAAAAATATCTGAAGTAAATCTCCCAGCTTCTGTTGGTGCCTAATTGTGAACTGCTTTGTACCACAGCAAGCTGTGATAAGTAAATGAGTAAGGAAGAACAAAAAAATTGGCAATCAGAAATGTGTTTACCACCACATTTCAGTCCACGGAGTCCCTAGAGGAGTACTGAAGAAGTCACCATAGTCAAGGAAGAGTCCTCAACCAAACCACAGCATCTCAAAATCTTTTCCTAAGATACTTGAAATAGCAAGGACACAAGAAAATGGGTTAGAGGAGACACATCTGCCTAACCCTTTTTGTGGTCCTCCAAGATACTGCCTCTGTTACCTCTAGTTACAGAGGGACAGACTCCCAAATATTCAGTTGCAGTAGGCAGCAGTACCATAGAGTATTCCCTCCAGCTGCAGCCTGGAAGCACTCAGATGACATGTGAGCTTTCAGATGTTTTACACATTAGAAAATTCAATTTTTAGTGTTTATCTTGCCTATTTCAATCTGTCCTTTGAACCTCAGAGACCACTGGTGCAGTAGGGGACAGAAAATGTAACAGCAAGAGATCAACCGGAAAAGCTAGAAAACAACATTTTCATATACTATAAGAAAAATAAACACACCCAAAACACCTACTCATTGTTTTCCAAAACTTGTCTACCAGTGAGCATAGCTAATTAACTATAAAAGCTCTCATTATTGTGCAAGGTGAGTGGGAAGTGAAGTGGGAAGAAAAAAAATAAAATAGTGAATTGAATCCCTGAAGAAGAGAACAAACAAACAAACAAAAACAATCTGAACCATTAAAGGGGAGAAATTGAACTTAAAACTTTGGCACTCTTTTTTTCCAAAATATTCTAAATAATCCTAGCTTTTCATACCACTGTTCACGTTCCTACCAGTCCTCCACATACAGCTTTTCTGTGCCTCTGCACAGAAATTCTCCAGTACTGCCCTCTCGCTTCCATGGAATTCCTTCATTTTCTACCAAGGAATTAAACATTTTATTTCAGTGTATAATTCAATACACTGAAAAAGTTTAACCCCATGATGCTTTTTTTAATATTCATTCATCTTCACTCATCAAAGAAATAACTGATGTGTTCCTCAAGGTATAAATTCCAAGAATGTTAGAAAACTTAACAAACGGAAATAAGAGGTCAAAAAGCCTAACTCTAGGAAAAAAAAAAAAAAAAATAAGGCACTGAGCTGCTGTACAACAGCTCAGTGCTGGCTGTGTCAAGTAGACATCAGGAACACAAGAGCAGACTGCTTAGATCTGAGATTTTACTCTCTTACAGCAAAGAATATAGAAAAAGGTCAAAAGGCAACTGCATTAAAGATGAAAGAATAAACTGTCCTCTGACACTTTATTGATAACACATACAAGACAAAATTCAGGAGGACATTATACAGTGTTAGACAAATAAAATAAAATGCATACAACAAAAATCACTGCTAATCAAATCAGTTGGTGAAATATTGACTTCAGAAGAAAGGCATTAAGAATTAAAACTGGTGAGAAATTCAACGTGGATATCCCAGACTGAGGTGGAAATCCTATGTCAAATTTCTTTGTCACATACCACTCTTACATCAAGTTATGTCAATGTGCTGTTTTAAGCTTTTAAAGAATGTTTTCTTGTAGTTACCAGGCTAAGTACTATGTACAAGCACGTTTCGAGCAGATGGAAAGTGAATTAATAATGGAGCAACTAACATGCATAATTTTGTACAGTACGTATTAGAATGAAAACATGATATACGCCAAGGGAAGAGGGTCTAATTATTTACAATCCCTACTTGGACCCTTGTGGTGTGTGCTAACCAAATGAATCAATCAGGCCTTTTTGGTCTGGAGGTGTAACTTCTGTCAAGTCAATATGTATAATTGAGCAGAGATTACAGAGCTGTAAATTGCATATCATATCATATCATAGAATAGCTTAGGTTGGAAGAGACCTTAAAGATCATCTAGTCCCAACCTCCCCTGCCATGGGCAGGGATGCCATCCAGTAGACCAGGTTGTACAGGGCTTCATCCAATGTGGTCTTGAGCACATCCAGGGCTGGAGCATCCACAGCCTCTCTGGGCAAACTATTCAAGAGCTCCACCACCCTCTGCATGCTACAGCTGAAGTCATACCAAAGGATAAAGAATCACAGAATCATAAAATCATTAAGGTTGGAAAAAACCTCCAAGATCATCTGCTCCAACTGTTACCCTATGACCAATATTACCCACTAAACCATGTCCCTGATTATCACCTCCAACCCTTCCTCAAACACTCCCAGGGACTGTGTCTCTACCACCTCCCCGGACAACCCATTCCAATGCCTGACTACTCTGTCTGAGAAGAAATGTCTCCTTTTTTCCAACCTGAACATCCCCTTGAGCAATTTGAGGCCATTTC